TTACCCAAGGTTAGGAACATCCTACTGCAGCCAACGTGCCTGGGGGATGATGGCTATAGATAACAAAAAAACCCCACGTTCCCAGCAAAATCTGATCTTTAGATGAGAAACCCCTTACTTCGTAAAATTTTTACCAATTGTTTGCTGCAGGTGACAGGGGATAACAACTGAAATAAAAACAAAAGAAAAGGAAAAAAATAATCTGGAGCAAACTGTCACTGATTTCTTAGAAGTCCATGAAATTAGGGGTTTTACATCCAAATAAGTGTGAAGCTCGCAGGCCTGAGTCTGGGATATGGTACTGAAACGTGTCTCAGAGCTTGGGCCATGCAAGGTGGCCAGAAGAAAAGCAGCACATGGTAAAACTAGGAATCACAACTCTTGCCTTACCAGTTGGGTCATTTTTAATTCTTTGAAGTCTACGTGTGACTTAGGGTTGAAGCCTTTGGCAATCTATGACCTCATTTACAGGGGATCGCACATAAACGCCATCAGTTTGCCATGAATTTTTGGCTGGTTTCGTTTGTATCTGGCTGTCCCTCTGAGCTGTTTGAACCAGCCAACATTACTGCTATTTCAGCTAAGGAGTAACTTCATTACCTGGCAATTAAGAGCTGGACAAATGAAGCACACTCCCAATACGAACTGGGCATATCTATAAAGGAGTGAGATCATTTTCACGATTTTATATTTATGTCAGGTTTTAAGGCACTGAGGTCACCTATGCAAATTCCCTTACTATTAGCTTAAGTGCAGAAAATATGCAGAGGCATTAATTTGGTAATTTATATTCTTCCATGAATCAGTCATAGAAACAGTCGATGGGCGCATTTGTGAATGTCAAGACTGTAGAAAAATGGGTTAGACAGCAAACATAAATTAAAATCAAAAAGCACGCAACTACAAATATCTTGAAGATGACCCTGTTTTGAGCTGTACTTTGTCTCTCTCTCATCTATTAGATACCAGATCAGTATTTTGGCTATTGCGACCAAACTTGCAATACTTTTAAGCTCACACAAAATGAATTGGTCTGTAGAGCTTCACGGAGGCTACGCTGTGTGTAACGACCTACAGAGGAGTCATATTTCATCTTTAATTCATTTAAAATAAAGTGACTGCATGACATCACTCTGACATTTCCTAAGATAGTAACAGCTGGCTGATGTCACACACGCTCTAAGTAAATATGTCAAAATATATTAGCTAATATTTTTATCCGGACAGCTATCAAATTGAGTCAACAGAAAACAAACTGGGTTGAAAGCAAACATTTCCATTTTTACAGTCAGTCTCAAAAGGGAAAGAACAAATTATTTATAACACTGCAGTTTTTACACGCAGGCAAGACCTTTCTCTTTAGACATTCAGAAAAAGAAAACAAGAAAAGTATTACAAGCAAGCTTATTTTCAAGTCTGCACAAATTCCAATTTCATAGGTGTACGAGCCAGCGTTCCCAGAAGACCGTGATTCCCAATTCCATCTGGAAACGGGCTAAGCATCACTCCTCGTTTGAATGTGAACATCGTGAGAGCTTGGGAAAAACAGCAGACGACTTTTGTGGTGGTGTTTTTCACAGAGACAGGGGCTGTTTCTGCCTCTCTCATCCCGGTCCCGCTGTGAGTCACACGCACAAGCACTGGCACCTCTCGAATTTGCGTTTCACCCAAGCCTAAAAGGCGAATGGCAGTGACTTTGCAAGCCTAGAGAGGCTCATTCAGAAGAGTCTGAACCTCTGTCACGCAGCTTGCTGCAGCTTTAAATAATAAATAACGCGTTTTCCGCGTTATTGACCCATTCGTCACGCAAGCCGACGGTGGCGGGGAGCGATGCCCGTCTCTGTCCCCACCTGTTGCGCGGTGACGAGATCCAACCCCCGAACCCGCCGTGCGGGTGGAAAAGCCGCTGTTGCCATTTCATTTCCATTTCGCTGTTGGCCCTGTGCCCGGGTTTTGTTTCCGAAGATAAAGCCCTCACGCTTCCGCGGGAATAGCCGGTACCTCGCACAGATCGCGACGGCGATGACGGTGAAGGTGGACCCCAGCTCCAGCTGGACCCCGGCGGTGATTACAGTCCTCCTCACCCACTTGATCTTCATTTTCTCAAAGTCCTGCGGGGTTGGAATTTTCCATGTTTGCTCTCCGCCCAGAGGCAAACAGAAAAGAATCAACAGAACCTGTTTTGGTCTCTGCAGATGTTTATGAAAAACTTTGCTTTAGTCCCGCAATCAAGAAATGTTCACGTGCAGCTCAGCGGCAGAGCATTTTTGACCATTTCCTACATGCTAATGGCTCTGAGGAACACCCGAAGCTTGAAGGAAATGATCTTTCTAGGTTGGGCAACTCCAGTTCCCACAAATTTCGTTAGAAAGCTGGTTTGCAGTATTGGATTTTCAGCTCGGATTTTGATTTAGATCGCAGCTGTGAGCATTGGTTATTCAGAAACTCACTTAAATCGTTGCTTAGGCTTAAACAGACAAATATTTGGGCCTTTCAAATAACAACCGAAGGAAGGCAAAGTGGGAAGTACTACCACCATTTCACTGCAATCTTTCACAGGGCGAGACCAGCCCATATCTCCAGTTAGACAGAGAGTTTTTGGGCAGCATCCCACACATCAGCACGGCGCTGCTCTCCCCTCCCAGAAGCGGCCGCATCCAAACAGTTTCCTTTCATGGGTAAGGAAAGAGGAAACAAAATGACTGTTAAAATGCAAAATGACATCGTGCTAAACTTTGCTGAAATTTTCTTGCAAGTAAACCTCGTTGGACTGAATTTTATGCCAAGGAGCCATCCCCTAGGAAATAGGTGAAACTTAAATGACACTGAAAAAGAATGACTGTTCGTTAATCGGGCCAGCACAACCACAAGTTTTACTTAATAGAAATGTGTTTAGCTAGTGCCGAGGAGTTAACCAGGTATTAAATAAGCAGAAATTATCCAACCTTTAAATACACGTTGAAAAATAAAGATTAAGAGATTTCCTGGGGGCTCAAGAGAAGTTGGTCTCAGGGAACCAAAGTTTCGGCAACGTCAAACCAAACAGCTCTAGAAGCTTCGGTGTTAATTTTCAGTTTGCCCTTTAATTAGAAACAAAAGCAAAGTGCTACGCAAAGCATTGAACTGTGTTTGCAGTTTGAAAAAACAGCCAGAGGTCAGGAATTGCAGAGGTAAGGTTCTTCTAGAACCATCCCAGCTCTCCCTTCTTTTGATTATTTTTTTTTTTAATTGCCTCTGCCAGATATAGTCTCTTTTGACAACACAAATCCTTTGTTGAGTAACATAACATGAGCATAATGATTCATCATCGTTTACACAGAAAACAACTTCACAAACTGTACTTCCTAGCCACACTTGAGGAAGACTCCTTATTTTCACTGGGGTAGCCAAAATATGCAAACAGTAGGTGCACAGTTCTGAGTTTACCTCCAAAATGTCTGTTTATAATACCACAATTTTGCAGCAACTGAACTAAGTGGGGAATGATGACCAAAAAAACAAATGAAATACTTGCTTTTAGTGGCTTCTTTGATGAGAAATAAGTCTTTTCTTGTCACAGGTCAACAGCCACATGTGACATCAGTACAGCTTTCTGCATTTCTTGCAGTAGTTTTTCTCCAACGCTTTTGATCTTGAACATCTCCAGCAATGGCTTTTCGCGCAGTCCAGCGTGGCTCTGGGCACATGTTTCGCCCCATTTGAGAGTTGTGCCATGGAATTGATGCCACACCAGCGATGCTGAACGTTGCGCTTGCCTTGGCAGGAATTCAGTTATCCCGTGTCGTTCACTGTATTTTAATTAGCTGTAATGAAGGACTGCCGGTGGTCTCCTGACACATAAACCAGATGTTTAGAAGAGTAGAGCTGAAGCAGGACAAACATAGCTTTGGTGCTGACTTGGAGGCGGTGCTCTAACATGTTGCCGTTCTATATCTTGTCTTATTTATCAGGATTTATTAGCAGGATCTCATTTTATATGAGAGCACGAAGACACTACATAAGGAAACAACTCCAGAGCATAATTTAATGACTGCAGTTGTCCAGATCTCATGGCCATGCAGAGGAACAGTGAGGACAGCTTCACTGTAGATATTTATCACGTTAAAGCCAGCTACCACTTCCCTTACATGTATTCCTTTAGTGTCCCGAAGGTCCTCTGTTTTTGCCGTTCTCCGCGTAGTTTTATCACCGACTGTGCCATATTTTGAGATAGCAAAATTTCTTTGTAGGTCCTATTCCTGCATTTTAAACCTGTAAGATCGTTCAAGGCTCTTTTCAGCTGGGAGACTCTGAAACAAGACCTCGCTTCCTTACGCTCAGCTCAGACCAAACCACCCGGCCAGGCGGGCACCAGACCTTGCACAGCCGCCTAGTCTGAGTGCGGCAATGAATTTTGATCAAATTTTGTCGTCACCGGGCATGATGGACTAAGTCAACAACATTTGCCAACTTTTCTGGGCACCCCTGTTTGTACGGAGGTTTACAAAAGCCTTTACCTCTGTTGGTAACCAAAGAGGTTTTAATGTAACACAGCAAAGCTCACAAGTCAGACCGAGAGCCAAAATGAATTTCGGGAAGACTCTTCACAAGCAGATTCAAGATTCATGGGTGGCTGACAAACACAAGATGTATAGCAGTATAAGCTCAACAAAAACATTGTTCCTAATGCTGCAAGAATTCTACTCCGGATTGTATACATACAATATACACACAGAGTTATGGGCTTGGGTGCACATAAATGGATATTTAGGAGGCTGCTACAAGCACTAGCGTATATCACAGGCTCCCTGTGAAACAAATGTCCTTATTCAGTCTTTCTGCTGTGGAATGCACTGGGATTTTATGGGTCTGCTACAAAGCCCGCTGGAAGTCAATCTGTTGACTTCATATCGCTTTGAGTTAAACTCACCTTGACCTAAAGCACCGACTCTTACTGTGGCTTGGCCACTGGAAATACGTATTATTTTATCCGTTAACCACAAAAAGAGATTAATTCCTAGTTATGTATAAAATTCCAGCTCTCTCTCTCCCCATTTTTCCATCTGCTGGTACATTTCTGCCGTCATGTTAGAGACCGTGCACAGCACCGAGCGGAGAGCAACTGCCACAGAAAGACAGGAAAAACACGAAAAAAAGAGACGCAAAAGCAAATGGAAACCCAGATCTCAGACCGCGTCTTCCCGGCTCTGAAAGGCTGAGCTTTAGTGAGTAATCTGCTGACCCCAGGATGCGTTTTTGGGCTGAGGCGTATGGAGGCTTTGCTCGAGAGAAGGCGATCATACCCTGGGTTAGCCCTGGGCGGTGCCTGAACAGCATCATCATAATCAAGAAACTCGAACAGGGGCTGATAACGGTGTCCGAGTATTGCAGAAGGAAACTGGACGCATTTATTCAGCTTTAAGATAAACCTATACATCAATTTAGACTCAATGTTTCTTTGAACATAGTGCTGAAGCATCATTTTATACCCACAAGCACAAGACCACAAACTATTCTGATGACAATCAAAAAGCGTTCCTCAAGATCTGCTACTATTTTCTAATGAGATTGCTCAGGTTTAATGGAAAACAGCCGATGAAGTTGAACTATGTATTATTTTCTTGAAACATCAATAAACTGTACAACACTCAGGTCACAAGACCTAACAGGTAATATATCCGGGTAATAGAGCTGCAAAACATTTCACGGACTCAGGTTCAGACTCCACCTGATCTAAATTAGCATCCACCCACCATTGGAAGCGGAACACCACAACCACATTGACCTCGACCAGGTGCCAACTTAGTCCTACAACACCACTAAAACACACCCTTGTGTCTCAGTGTTTTAGTGCACAACACTCACACATAACTTTTTTCCTCTCTGTTCCTCACAAAAATTTAGTTCTACCGACTGTAACAACCCTTCCAAGCACACCCTCCTATTCAGGAGTTCCCATGCATACGTATTTGCAGAAAAATGAATTCTATGTAAAACGAACTTATTCACTGACAATTATGTCAGCACTATTTTTGTAGTTCAAGCTATCTAAATTGTTCTTTAAGACGTCAGACCAAGATCTCAGCAGATTCACGTATATAGCAGCTTGGAGAGATCTGTTTAGACAGACCTAGCTAATTCCCTCCATTTAACTTTTTGCACTGTAGAACCTTTTTCCTCCAGACTGCGCTTTGTTTCCTGCCGTCTCCAACCACCAGAGTGCTATATAACAGTGTTCTGTCGGTTAGAGCTTCCTAGATTTAGTACAAAGATTCAAGACCCACAGAGCACAAATCACAAACGAGCACAAAGCGTTACATGGCAATGGCAAAGCACAGCAGGGCAGGAAGAATGGTGAGCTGATGAAATATTCCAGAGGGAGATGTTTTAACTATGCTGAGGAGAGGACAGCCGGTGGCGAGTCTGTCCTGATCTCAACCTTGACCCAGCTTCTATCTCCTGTTTCTTTCTGGGCAGCACTTTGGGCATCATTCTTAAAGCCATGTGGTCTCCAGTTTAGCGACTTAGAAGTCGCCACTCTACAATGTGCTTTAATGCAATACTGAGGAACAAGAAAAGTCTCTACGTTCCCATAATAGTACCTAGTTATGAAGGTAAAACCCTCCATCGGCTGCTGATTGAACAATCACTTTGGATAGCTGCAAAGACTTTTAAGTTATCTGGTCTAATTCTCACTTATGTTGACGTGAAAACAACATATTTTTTTTCCTGAAGTGCTCTTTGGAGCACAAAATGGAATCACCGAATCCCAGACTGGTGAGGGTGGGAAGGTCCCTCTGGAGCTCCCCCATCCCCCCCCCCGCCAGAGCAGGGGCACCTCCAGCAGTGGCACAGGACGGCGTCCAGGCGGGTTTGGGATGGCTCCAGAGGGGGAGACTCCCCCACCTCTCTGGGCAGCCTGTGCCACTGCTCTGCCGCCCTCACAGCAGAGAAGGCCCTCCTCAGGTGGAGATGGAACTGCCCATGGTCACGTTTGTGCCCGTTCCCTCTTGTCCTGTCACTGGGCACCACTGGAAACAGACTGGTCCCATCCCCCTGGCACCCTCCCTTTCAGTATAAGTGTTGATAAGATCGATAACAGTTAAAACAGGTTTGAAAACAATTACACTTGGTACAGACACCCGTGGACAACAACCATGTTTGAATGTTTACAGAAATATAGTTTGGAGATAAACCAAAGTGATTGAAAATTAAGTTCTGGCCACAGAAAGTACCACACTTCATTTCTGCTGCTGCTTTTGAATAAGCACCAAAGTGCAGCTCTCCGGAGACGTGTACTCAATATGTGCTCAGAATCAATTTGTAGCACGTTGCAGTGATGGACCGGACTGGAGCAGCCACAGTCTATTGTGTCAACGAGTATTTTGGGCAGGCTTTAATCTGAAGAGCCACTCGAGTGTTGTGTAACTATGTACATTAAACTCATTACATTTTTGATAAAATATAGTAACTCCCTATTCACAGCAGCCACTTTTCAAAACAGTGACTTGACTATTTAATTATTTTTTTTTTTAATAGCAAAGGACGCATAGTCTGCATCACAGCCTGACAATGTTCAAGATCATTGTATAGAATAAAGTCATTTTAAATGACAACTGTCCTCTGAAAAGACTCTGCATCCTGAAAACACTGCGTGTGTCATCATTACCTCATTTATCCCTTGCACATCTACTTAGAAAGTAAATAATATAGGGAAAGTGGGGTAGTTTTTACATTTAACTAACCCAATTCATTATGCATTTGTACTTTAAAAGGTCAAATATTTGCAAATGTTGACAAACCAGGAGCAATGGAGAGAGAACAATCAACTTGTATTGAGAGAAACAGAACACCAGTGACCTGACCCCATCTTCACATTGGCTTTCCAAGACAGCACCTGATGTCTCCTTACTCTTTGGCTCCTGAATACGCGACTGCTTTCTCCTGTGATTCCGCCCTCTGCGCAAGTCCTCAAGGAAGAGCAACGGTGTTGAGAAACCTCTGCAAACAAAACGAAGGACGCGGTTATTCGCCAACCCTGACAAAAACACCTCTTCCTTCCCGCTTCCCCAGAGCCGTCAGGCTGTTCGCGGAATTTACTTCTCTTCTAAGTGATCCTTTGCCCCGGGAACACAAAGAGATCAGACTCTTTATGAATACCCATACCCACTGTGACTGCAGTTGATAGTCTTCAACCTTTATTGACTGCTAAAAGCACGGCTAGGGAGGGGCCGCTGCAGCTAGCGTTCAATCCCCCGTTACCGAAATCAAAACCTACAAGCAGAAATTCCATTTAGCAGGGATAAAAGACAGACAGGAGAAACTGCATTAGCAACCCCATTCAACCGCAGCTCTGGGTTTTCTCTTCCTCTCAGCTCGAAGCCAGGCTGAACCGTAGACAGGGCACCTGGTACCTCCCCAGAGGAACACAACGAGTCTCCCCTGAAGAACTGATGGTTGGCTTTGACCTGGATGAACCAGACTCGGAACTGGGCTCTGAGATTGCCTGGCTTCGCAGTGAAGCTCTCAGCTTTCTCCACAAACTTAGTAATGACTGAAAAACCTGCTAGGAACACGCAATCTGATGTGTTCATCTTTGTAAATTTTGTACCCTTCAAATAAAACACATACCCAGACGTCACCAATCTAACTCAGAAAAGCTAAACGTGTGTGCGAAAATAACTTGAGAAAAGCTTCGGTCCACTTGA